TGGAGTAGCGAACTCTCTACTGGAGCCAGACTCCAATTTTTCTTTGCCAGTCACATGTGCTAGAGAACTTTAGCTGACAGGTGCTTTTTCATTGTTTCTCTCCGAGGCAGAAGCAGTGGAGTCACAGCTGATGTTCAGAGTCTAGGGCTTTACCACTCTCTTTTAGGAGCATTCCCAGGAGACAAGACGAATGTGTCTGATCATATATGCTTTGAAAATCCCTTTTCCTTCTGGAGCTACCTAATCTCCCTGTTGGAATTTGAATTACTGGCTATGCCTAACAGTCAGAAGGTCTTCACATACCAGATGCAGAAGTAAGAAAAAGTGTATTTGTTGGAATGTTTCATTGCAAGTAGTAGACTATCCAGGAAGTGTTGGTCATCCAGTAAGGAAAGTTTATCATTTCATGTTTGAAATTCAGGGGTACCATGGTATGTGTGTTGGTTAATTTGGTGATATCATTATGCCACCGTTAAAGAATGATTAATAAAGACAATTTAGATGATACTAACTAATCTTAACATTCATGAACTAGACAGTCTCCTTGCAGAGAACCACAAAATGGGGTGGAAGGCAGAAAGCTTTTTACAGGATAAAGATTAAACAAAGAAAAGACAAACAGAAAATACCTAATTGGTTGGGGCCATATAGTTAATCTTGTTTGGGGTGAGAAGGCTCAGAGTTGGCTTGGTGTTTGGGGACTAGCTGACTGGATACACTCTGTGTCTGGTCAAGTGGAGCCTGTTTATAGGGACACAGAACCTATCTAACTTTGGTTTGCTGACATGGCACCCTGGGAAGGAGTGGCTCCATCTTGGGCCTAGAAGTTATTTCAACATCATCAAAGACACAAATTCTTTTTTTTTTTTTTTTTGAGAGTTGGTAATTTTATTTTTTTCTTTCTTTTCTTTCTTTCTCTCGTTTTTGATGTAGTGTTCCATGATTCATTGTTTGACACAGATTATTTTTTATCTATTTTTTTTTCTATCCTCAGTATATTGACTTCTTCCCGTAGCTTGTCTCTTCATGGTTAAAAAATGGCTGCTGCAGCTCCATACATCATGTTTGCACACATCAAAGTTCAAAAACTAAAGACATTATATCTCTAATTTGTGTCTCTTTTAAGAGTGAAGAACACTTTACTGGGACTCTACATCAGGCTTATTTTTGCTTTCATTGACAGAACTCTTTATTATTTCTTTCCTAAACCATTGATCTACCTACCCACATAATCTATGTGCCACACATTGTGTTAATTGATGCTACTATCAATAAAGTTCTCTTCTCTTGCTAACAGCTAGGATTTCAACATCTCTTCCCCATGAGGCAGCTACTGAGCAGATCCAGTATCCAATATCCATAAACATTGGTGTCCAGGAAGAAAATGCATCCTTATCAGAGAATATAGAACTATATCTTCTAAAGAAAATAGCAGTAGTAAACATTCTAGTGCTTTTTTTCTAATCTTTCTGCACCTTAACTTTGGCTTTCCAAGTATAGCTAACTGAAACATGGTTTTGTTGCAGTGTTCAAAATAAAATTGAAATTTGCATTCCCACTAGCCTCTGGCAAAGTAAATTGACATTATACTTGAGTTTTCGTAGTCCTAAATGATTATTCTCCCTTCAATAAGTACCCATAGGCATTTGCAGCTGACTGTTTCTTCTTATGAAACAAGTCACTGAGTTTGTGTGGTTGGGTATAAATACACACAAATCAAATGTATCGTTTTAAAAAAATTCTCACTTACTAAAACTTTTAAAGGTTAGTTGGTACCTTCATTCAACACAGTATATTTTCAATAATGATTTTTGTTGGCAAAGCAAGTAAATTAGACTTTTGTTCATTTGGTGCAAGAGGCAACTTTGTTGCTATAATATATACAATTAAACTGAGTTGAGATATACTTTAAATGAAAATTGAAAACAAATTAAGTAATCAGTCAATGTAATGTTTGTAGTTACAGCTCTTGTATATATTTGGATAAGTTAAGGGGGGAAAGAAAGCAATTTAGCATTGCTGGGAATTCTATTTTATTCCAAGGGAGGAAAAAATAGTGAGCTGGCAACATTTCAAATTGGCTGTAAAATATTACAGATAACGATAATTTGTTTTTATATTTATATAAAGCCCTACATCTACTCCCATAGATCAAGTTTAATCATATGCCATATTACTATCTACTAGTGTTGGAATCAGGCAATCTCAAGTTTAGCTAATGAAATTTATTTATAGGGTTTTTTTGTTGTTGTTAATCTTTCTTATTAACCATGAGCAGGACCTTTTAATTTGACATTGGGAAATGTTTGTATTAATAATAGCAGTTTTTTAGGTCCCAACTTCTTACAATTTGACATTTGTAAAGTTAATGCGTATCTTTTCCTCTCTTATTACAAATTATTTCCTTAATTCTATGACTTTGGGATGGTTGCCAGTGACTTACTGCCTCAAAAATGATGATGTTGAGAAAGAGATGGTTATGTTTTATATTTAGCAAGATTTACTAGTGCTGACTTGGGCTTTGCGTTCAGGCAAATGAGTTTACATGAGTCATCTGATGATTCTTGGGTCTCTGCTTAAAGTTTAAATTCAGCCATAGAAGGTTATGATACTTTATGAAGCTTAATCCCTGAGCCATTTTTTTCAGAGTTACCTGCATTTGATTTAGATTTTGAATATAGTTCTCATTCAAGTTTTGATGGAAGTATCATACCCTGCTATACATTGCACCCTGTTTTAATATGGCATTAAACTTCCAAGAGCAATAAATTCCTTTTCTTTCCCCCTTATCTCTTAAAATTATACATTTTTTTTAAAAGCCTCAGGTTTTCCAGTATTTTTCTAACCTATTTTTTGGTCCAACTGTATTAAAAATGTATGGGGAATATCAGTTAAATTTGTTCATTGGGTTTTATCCTGTAAATTAATTTGCTGACTTAGGACACCTTTTGCAACGTATAGATACTGAAAGTGTTTATTTAGTACATATTTTTTCAGGACTGTTGGTTATAACAGAAATGCAACTTAATGTGTTTCAGCATAGCAGAGCTTATTGGCTTGCATAATGGTGAGGTCTAGGGCACATGCTTCAGGCATGGCTATATCAAGTAGCTCACACAGTCTAATCAATAATCTTTCTCTTCTCTTTCTCAGTAATCCTTTCCTTTGAGTTGACTTCTTTCTCTTACAAACTCCTTCCTTATTATAGCCATGAGTACTGGCATCTTTACATCCTAGAAATTGCCAGTCCAACAAAAACAAAAGATTTTTATTGTGTGTAATCTTAGTAAAGGTAAAATTAAATTCCTTTCCATTCTATAATGATCCTGTCCCTGACCCATATTCTATGGGTAGGGGGTTGGAATGTATCCGTTTTTGACAAGGTGTGGTCCCTAGAGAACTGCCAGCAACATCACCCAAGATTTTGTTAGAAATACATACTCTTGGGGCACCTGTGTGGCTCAGTCATTAAGGGTCTGCATTCGGCTCAGGTCATGGTCCCAGGGTCCTGGGATCGAGCCCCCCATTGGGCTCCCTACTCCGCGGGAAGCCTGCTTCTCACTCTCCCACTCCCCCTGCTTGTGTTCCCTCTCTCACTGTGTCTCTCTGTCAAATAAATAAAATCCTTTAAAAAAAAAATACATACTTTCAGATCCGCTCCCATACCTAAAAAACCAAAAGATTCCACTGTGGGGACCAGCCTACTGGGTGATAAGGAGTCCTCCTAGTGATCCTGATGAATGCTCAAGCTTGAGAACCAGTGCAATACACTGATTGGTGGAGATTGGGTCGTGTGAGCAAACCTCCTTCCCCATGCCTGTCCCTGCCACAGGGCTTCCCTGTAAGTTGCATCTTACAGCAAGCACATACAAAATAGACCTGAGGAACTGACGTCAGGAAGGAGGAAGAGTAGATGCTCTGCTGGCAAATGGGAGATCTCTGCTACAATGAAATTTCAGCCCAATAGTACTTTTTCTTTGTTTCTAATGGTATTATTTCTCACGACACTATTGACAATGAATTCCACTCCAGAAAACCACTATTGTAAGTAAGCAAATCCACATTCATCCTCCTCTAGGATATGGTATTTTAGTTTTAAATTTCATCTCCAGGTAGGTACATGACCAATATTGAAGGATTTTCAGGGGATGCCTAGGTGGCTCAGTCAGTTAAGCATCTGCCTTTAGCTCAGGTCATGAACCCAGGGTCCTGGGATCAAGCCCCACATTGGGTTCCCTGCTCAGTGGGGAGCTTGCTTTTCTCTCTCCCCCTGCTGCTCCCCCCTTGTGCGCTCTCACTATCTCTCTCTGTCAAATAAATAAATAAGATCTTTAAAACAATAAGGTTTCTAGACCATATAATTTTTTTTTAATCAAATGCTTCCCACTTAGATATAAGTCAGCTACCATTACAGCCTTCAGTAACGAACCTTGTTGATCTAGGTGATAAATAGTAGACTAGACTGAATTTGCTTCAAAAATTCTCATTGACAATGGCAGTGAGGCCTACAGAATTTTAGGGAAGGTAGTCAACATTGCAATATCATTCAAAATAAATTTAAAGCATTTTTTTTTTAAAGCAGCTAATAGGGGAGATACATGTAAATTTTCGCATTCTTAAGATTTTTATTTCAGTTTATCATATGACTCCTCTGGGCATTTGTTGAAGATCCAAAGGTCTTTTTACTTATTTTTATTTTTAGCATATTCTTATTTGGCAGGTCTAGGGTAGGAACAGGGGATTTGTATTTTTAATAGTTTCCACAGCGAATTCTTAGAATCAAGCAGGTTTGCCATACTCCATAGTGGTAAGAAGTAAGGATGCTGGGGTAGAATGGTTGGGGTCAGATCTTAGTTGTAGTTCATACTGACTGGGGGGGGAGGGGAATAGTTGCTTAATGTTGTCAAGTCTGAAATGCTGCTGTTATCACTTATATTCCATTCTTTCCCTTTTCTCTCAACTAATCTGCCAGTTACTCCTTCTCATTTCTTATGCTGCAGATAGAGGACATGCAGTGGGGTAAAGGAGTACGGGAGATCCCCCCCTCAGTATGCACACTGCCATGCAAGCCGGGGCAAAGAAAGAAGACACAGAAGGGAACTCCGTGCTGCTGGACCTGTGAGTCTTGCGACGGCTACCAGTACCAGTTTGATGAGATGACATGCCAACATTGCCCCTACGACCAGAGGCCCAATGAAAACCGAACCGGCTGCCAGGATATCCCCATCATCAAACTAGAGTGGCATTCCCCCTGGGCCGTCATCCCTGTCTTCCTAGCAATGTTGGGGATCATCGCCACCATCTTTGTCATGGCCACTTTCATCCGCTACAATGACACGCCCATTGTCCGAGCATCCGGGCGGGAACTGAGCTATGTTCTGTTGACTGGCATCTTTCTTTGCTACATTATCACTTTCCTGATGATAGCCAAACCTGATGTGGCAGTGTGTTCTTTCCGGAGAGTTTTCCTGGGCTTGGGTATGTGCATCAGTTATGCAGCCCTCTTGACAAAAACCAATCGGATTTATCGCATATTTGAGCAGGGCAAGAAATCAGTGACAGCTCCCAGACTCATAAGCCCAACATCACAGCTGGCCATAACTTCCAGTTTAATATCAGTTCAGCTTCTAGGTGTTTTCATTTGGTTTGGTGTTGACCCACCCAACATCATCATAGACTATGATGAACATAAGACAATGAACCCTGAGCAGGCCAGGGGAGTTCTCAAATGTGACATTACAGACCTCCAAATCATTTGCTCCTTGGGATATAGCATTCTTCTCATGGTCACATGTACTGTGTATGCCATCAAGACTCGGGGTGTCCCAGAGAATTTTAATGAAGCCAAACCCATTGGATTCACTATGTACACGACATGTATAGTGTGGCTTGCCTTCATTCCCATTTTTTTTGGCACTGCTCAGTCAGCGGAAAAGGTAAGTGAAAATGCACACCACACTGTGCATTTCAGAAATGTGTTTTTGTAAATACTGAAACCGAATCAATTGTACAGAGTGAGAAGTTTTATATCCTGAATTACTAGGCATCAGTGCTATAGAAATCTAAAAACTGCAGGGAACTGTGCTATGTTCATTTCACTGGAAACCAATCAAAGGTAGCTTTTTCAAGTTAATTCATGATAGAATTATTCAATGTAGCAAGAGATTATCCAGTATAAAATTGTGTGATCTATCCAAATTAAACCTTCCTATGCATTCATTACCCACCTTCTCTTCTTATACATATGTTTCCTTGGGATAGGAGAAAAAGGCCACAATCCCTCATTAGGATGAGGATGGTCATTACTAGCTCGCTCTCACTGTTCTTAGTGACCATTTAGGCTGTCACTGTGGATTGGATCTAGGGTGTGAGCAACACAATATATTAGAGTTGCCCATTTACATATTACATGTGTATGTATATATATAATAGATGAATATAGGAAGGTTTTGGTTATCGTTCCACCCTAGGCTCCCTAAAACTAGATGAACATGAATCACATCAAGTGATTCAGAGGGATGCCAGAGACTCAACTTTCTAGCAGCGGGAGGGACAGTATGCAGTAGAGCTAGTGTCATCGAGCCTCGGAAGTTCAAAATTAGTGGGCCCTAACCCGTTGTCCTAGACAAGGCTAGTGTGCATGCGCCCCCATATAGTTATGCATTTTTACAAATCTGTAAGTTAGGCAGCCCTAATGTGTTGATTCTTAAAGCGATTAATGCATGTCTAGCTGTGGGTTTGACAGGCGTGCAAATTAGGCAAAACTAAAGCATTGATTCTAGGTGAGATTCATACACATCTGACTTTTATACTCACCTGGATATGGTTTTGTGTATATGCAAATGAGGCAGTTCTAATGTGTTGATCTTAATAAGATGTGTTGTCCTTCATTCAATGAAGTCAGCTCTGACAGGGTGGTTCAGGGGAAGCCAGACCCAGGCCTAGAGCTCTAACTGGCACGCTGTCTTGGAGAGAGCACAGTTACGGCTTGATTAGAAGTTAGAACACAGGGAAGCTAGCCTGATTCCATGTTACTTTGGAGAAGTCTACAAAACATTCAAGGACTTAGTCCCCTACATGAGGAAAGCAAGGATTGAAGTAGGAATCTCTACAAATTCACAAATCTGTGCCTTTAGGAATTAGTTGAATCTGAGTTTTTCAATGTTACTTCTGTTCTCATAGAATCATATAAATAATTAATGACATTTGACTGGTGTTGCACCTGAGAAGATGTCTTTCACCTAAATTATTTGATTCAGAAGCTATCAGTTTGGACTGTATGGGTTTTGGGGGCTTGTTTGTTTGTTTGTTTTAAATGAGTATCTCATAAAACCACAGAGAATTCTGCAACCAAGGACAGTGAGTGGTTCCAGATACGGTTTTAGTGTAAAGTGTCTTAGAGGAAGTTCTAAAATATATGCTCAACAAGCATAGTATGTTTCCAACAGTATATTTCAAATTCATAATGCATGTTTACTGTCTATGAAACCAACTTGAATTGCATTTTATTGCTTCTATCTATCCCTGGGCCAGGGGAATAGTAAAATATGAGTTAGGGTAGTGAAATGCAATAGAGAGAAAAAGAAAAAGAATTTCCCAAATATATGCTGGTAAGTTGATAACGATTGAACTTTTTATGGGAAGTGATGTGTACACAATCATCAAAGCCTATGAAGATAATAATATTTTTTTTATTAAAACAAACACAATTGCCTATGTAACAGGTTAAAAACATTAAATCCTTTTCTTGTAAATTTAGTCTTGGGGAATGCAAAAGGCAGGAATACCTGCAGCTGTTTTGTAGAAGGGTCTTGTAATGATACTTGACGATGTACGTGTCTACCATTTCATTTGTCATTTCTAGCCATTTCTAGTCATGACTATGAATCTTTTCAGTAAGGTCAAGTGTATAATTGACTCACTTAAAAACCTGAAAATGATGCAGGGTTTCAGGAATTGAATTCACTGATCCCAGTTGTTCTAGAAGGCTTTGAGCTGGTAGAACTGAATTACAGGAAAAAATTAAGCTGTCTTCAAGCAGTGTCCTTTGTATCCTAGAGTTGAGAAGACACATATTTTTTCTTTGTATACTCTCAATGGGTTTTGATGTTTTACATGGTTGATGGGCACAATTAAAGGTACTAAATTGCCAAATGGGAACAGTGAATTTTATATGGAAATTCACACATCTTAAAGATAGGCATATGGCTAGAGAAGCATGAGTGATAAATTAAAGATAGTTTTTGTACATGAAACCATGGAATTTAAATTGTGGAAGGTGGCAGATTGCCAAATGCAACAGAGATCACAGAAAAAGGCATCATTGCCAAGCTAGCAATATTCAGAATCACAGCCCTTACATTTTTATTTAGATCAAACAATTTAAGTGTTTTAAGTGGAAGAATTCCATTGTAACAGGAAAAAAAAAAGATTAGGCAGTGAGTTCAGTAATAACTATTTACTGTGTTAGGAAATTGAGTTCATTCTGATTATGCTAGGTGTATCTTTGTGAAATTTCTTATCACTTGAGTTCCTTAGCACAGCATAAAGGATGATAAATGTTTATTTTCTTGTGAAACATCAACACTCAGTATGTTTTTGCTTTTGTGAAGAAGGATGCAGGAGATTACAGTTATCTTGTTTTATTATTGCTAATCCTGTGATTTTTTAAAATGGGGATCATGCAGCGTGGTCAGGGATGGAAGAGGTAAACTTAAGCCATAAGAGAATGATCCTTGGTTTTAGGAATTCTATTTAGATGACTGAAATGATTCAAGGAAACACCGCAAATAGTAGAGTAATAGCACGGTAGGAGTTATTAGCTGGTCTAGTGAAGTGGATACTGGCAAGAGCTGTTAGAGGACTAGATTGTTTTCCATTAACACAAAGGCTTGGTTTGTGGCTTACGTATCTTTTTTGCATGCAGCCTGGAAAAGAGCATGCTTTAGGTAGGGAGGATACAAGCTACCCTCCCAAAGTCGGAGAAACCCTGCAGATGCTATGATTATCCAGATCTTTTTAGCCAGTTGTTGTTGGGAGAACTTTCTAGGTAAACCAGTGTATCAATTTTTTATACATGGATCAGGAGACACGCTCTACACCACTTGGCTCTGCAAAGGCAAAGTAGACCTTGATATAAAATGAGTGATGTTGGAGGGTCTCAGAAGTCTTCCCTTTGGTGGCATATATGTTTGTTTGGGTAAGCGGTTGATGAGAAGAGGAGAAAGTAAAGGATTGAGGCATTTTCTGTTCAGAGAAAAAGGCTGGAAAAAGAGTAATGGCTTATAGGAAGGAGTATGTCTTCTGTAATGCCACGCGCAGTCCATTCTTCTGCACATAGCTGAATAGAACAGCATGGATTACAACACTTAAATAATTGGATTCTTTGATTTTCATTTAAGAATTATTCCACTAGGTGACAGAAGTAGGGCTACTGCTAGCAATCTCTGAACCAGCTCAGGGTCCTTAACTCTGTGGTTCTCAAAATTGTGTCCATGATAATCCCCATTGGAACTTGTTTTTAAATATTGTGTATCTGCCCCTCCCAACTGGTTCAATAAGGCAATAGGATGGACATAGAACTCTAGACTTTGTAACGAGCATGCTGGAAGGATGTCAGTGCAAACCAAGCATGCGTCTTAAAACTACTTGAGCATTTTCTTCCTAATCCACAGGATTACGAAATATGTCATATAAATATTTCCTGATCTCTAATTTTAGAGCCTTTAGGAATAAATTAATTCTCATCTCAAGCAACAGGGAGGTCTAGAGATCAAGGAACCAGGAGATCAGAAAGACATTATTCACAGTCAAAGACAAAGTCTAGACTCAGAAGGTCTGAATGAAGTGTCAACTCCAAGGTTATGGTCAGAGACCTTACAAGGCAGGACCAAGGCATGGACCCTGCAACCAGAGGTAGCAGGAGGACAGGCAGAATGTTTCCCAAGAGTATTTCTAGGGGGTTTGGACTATAAACCAACATTTTGGTTGTCCACATGTAGCAGATAGCTCCCCAGAATCTGAACACAAAGCAAACCAATCTAGGACTGATATGACAGATCAGAAATATTTGGCAGGTAGGTAAACATTTCCTAATCCATGCCCTAGGCAGACATTGATAATCAATTACAGTGAGCTTCCCCTGAACCCAGGTGAGGTTTTGAGCTATTTGTTGACTTCGTGCAAGAGCCATTGGGTGCCTTTCATTAAAATTAATCGACTTAAATATAAAAGAATAGGAAAATGGGGATGCACTTGAATTAGTCTCTAATTCGTCTCTGATTACACATCTCTTAAAGTTTCAAATGCCATACAGCAAGGAGCAGTCCTAGCTCTCTTCGGGAGTAATATTTTCACACCTTTGAATAGTGTGAGGCATGCTGTAGTTGTCACACAAGGAATGCAGGACAGACACCCAGAAACAGGAACTCCACTTCTGCTTTATGGAAAAGCGACAAGTGGACTGAAGTTACCAGGCAGAGGAAGCGCTATGATAACCCAGTGAGAAATTACATCCCATGTCAAAAGTAGGGGGTGGGATTTTCACCACATGGTACAGAGACTGAAGACACAGATTGCGTTTAATGCAACTTTGACTCTTGAAAATATGAGGGTGTAAGAATAAAATCTAATAAAACTGCATTTTATGGGAAAACTTTAAAACAGCATGAACCCCAACATTTCATTCCCAAATTAAACTTTTGGCAAGAATCCCATCTTTTTAAAGTGACGGACCAAGTTGATTTTAAATACTACAGCTTATAAGCTGAAATACCTGCTTTCCTTTCTCAGGCTGATATTTTCCCTTATGCTTATGTTGAATTATGCAAGGTCTTCCCTCTGATGCAATCCCCCCCTCCCCGATTTTGGAGGCCTGGGCCCTATGACAGAGATAATGATGCAGTGAGGAGCAACAAATCCAAATTATGGAGGACTG